ATATYCTTAACATTCGAGTCACAGAACATTAATTCTGTAAGTAGAAGCAAAGAGACATCATACTACAAGGATATACATTTTCTTTGCTGCTTAACACCCACTGTACTCTGAATGATTCTTATTGAATACTACTTTATTACTTACTTGCTTTGGAATTTGGAATTTGCTTTTGGTTTTATTTTTGGGTTTGTTGTTGTTTTGTTTTTTTTTTAACAGAATTATTTTCTATATTAAGGATCCATTCTGTCTCCCCTTAGGGCTCTTTTCTGTAGACTACCCACTTTCAATTTTTGCCTTTTCTCTGACAGTTTCATAGACTTCTAATCATTCTTACTGCTCTGGTGTAGATGCTCCACTTGTCTCCTTAAGAGCTGTGATTAGACTGTACACCAAACTGCAGCCAAAGCCACATGCCATCTGAAATTAGCAAGAGGAACATTCCACATGCTCCAGGCAATATTCCTGGTTTACATTGCAGCAAAGTGTCAGCTATTCCACAATATTATGTGGTTTTCAACTCGTGTTAAGCTTGTTTTAAACAACATACCCTAGAGCTTACTGTAATTAAAAGTCAATGATCAACTCTTTCTAATCTTGATCTCTGTTTGTACACTGGATCATTTTAAAAGGCAGAGTTTTGTACCTTTTCTTACATTGTCTGCTATTTCTTTAGTTCAATTCTCCTATAGGTCAGATTTGGAATTCCACTCCTGTCCTCAGCTGCGTTTGCTGTTCCAGCCTCACCAAACCCAGGCCACTTGGTCTGAAAGTTCTATCAGCTTATTTTCTGTTCCATTTTCCAGATCATTAAGGACAATATATCCACGCAAAAAAGCCTGTTCAGTATATCTGCATGTTTCTAATCTATTTTCCATTAATTTATAAAAAAATATGCCCAAATTTCCACAGTTGTTGACAGGAATTAATCTGTAAAACAGTCTCCAAAGCCCTTCTAAAACATAAGCGCTCTTGTATCTTATCCATGGTACTTCTCTTTTCCTTCCATGGAAGCAATATAGACTTGATTGAAACAACTTTTCCTTGCAAATCCATTTTCCCAGTTACTGCTTTTCCTGGTTTTTTTTGCAGATATTGAGTAAAATCTCAGTTATACACTGCCAACTGCCTTAGGAATTTAAGTTATACTGTTGAGTCTATCATTTCTTACCTCATACTTTTTATCTCATTTGAAACACAAGCAATGTATTTTCTTTTCCCTTCTCTAGGCTGCAGGCTCATATTTGGGTAAGTTGTATTAATTTTCTTAGCTCCATGTCTGGAGTTTTATTATCCCAGGGAAGGACTGTAGGAATAATCATTCCCAGTATTATCTGTCAGTCACCTACTCTCCTCTGAATATCAAATCAGTTCTTCCTTAGCCACATTATTACAAACATAAAGTGATTGTCTGTTTCATTTATGACCCTTCCTAACTACTTTGGGACCTCATCTTTCCAATTCTGTCCCCAATACACCTGTGCTAATTTATATTCAAACTCAATAATCTGATTAAGTAATCACTTAATCTCCCCTTCCGCTTGAGCGCACAGAAACAGCAGCTCTTGTAAATTTTGTACTCTTTCTTCCACAGAATTGAGAAACTTCAGTGTAAAACATGTATCCATGTGATATTTCAACCCAAAGTATTATTAATTTGAAAAAGCCATATCTGTATGATCACTRGATTTTACTTCTGTATTTTTAATATGCACAATGGCCATAATTGCAAAATCTGTTCCACAGAAACAGATAATTCCTCAACTGCAGAAATGTCCAACACACCTTTAGATAAAGTTTTACACCAAGTTAAGCTGCAGAAAATTGAATTGGTTTGTAATATATGTAGAAATATAATTTAGTGAACATAAAGAAGCTGCAATTGTCCTGCTAATAACTTATAAAAGCAATCAAACATAGAATGTCCTCTGAAAAGAACCTGAGAGAATAAAAATAGGAAAGTTTTCAACAGCATAATGAAATTCACATTATCAAAGGTTCTCTACAATTTTAATGACCTGAGTGCATTTTAATTAATTTAAATGTTTAAAGTAGTACTCTATGCACATTCTTAATCTAAAACTATTTATGCTACTGATACTGCCTTATTAAGGGCCCGATATGTAAATAGTTTAGACTAATTGCCTGTTACTGTACAATTTAATTGAGTCCTGTAACAAAGATCGTAAAATCAGGATAATGCATTCTCTCAGAAAAAAAAACAGTTGATTTTTCACTCACTGTTTCAGTGATAAACTTCACATCAAAGGGGCCCTGTGTTTTAAAATTACATGTCAGCTTTTACAGGATATTRCAATAACAAAATGTATGTCTGTCCTTGAAGGAAATGTTCGAGCTCAGCTATGACTCATATTTGCATCTACTTAAAAGCACAGGCATTTGTTAGAGATCTATTTAGCTACCAGACACASAAGAGATGTTAAATCATGTCCATCACCATAGTTCACTGCTATGTAACAGTGCAGTTAATACAAACATTGTATCCTTGAGACAAAATTATAAATCTCATGACAATATAGTGCCTTTTTACTGAATGGGACACAATCCAAGTGTCTGAACTTTTAAATTAGCTAACGTGTTCACTCTGAACTTTTGTAAGCTTTAAATGTTCACTTACATTACTGAAACAGGCTTGACAACACTSGACAGTGAATTTTACCCAGATTTTCCATATCTTCTGTTCTCTTTTTCTCTGTTTGTTGTATATTTGCATATGCAAATATAAATAAGATTTTAATTGCACTTATTTCTTCTATATCTTCCTCACCTGAACTCCATGGAACTGAACATGGAAATTCATGCTCTGACTCCTACTTCCTTTGTGGTATAAAGAGAATTGCTATGAATTATAATCTCAATAAGTAGAAATCAATTTTACCCTTTCCAATAGAACATTTAAAGTGCTATTTTCATTATTGTAAAAGAAAACAAGACTGAATAATGGAACACTTTTCAGTAAATGTTCATGTTCATTCATGTTGAATCATTGTACGAAAGAATCTAAGCCACATAACACACAGCAGAACTCAAGAGAACTTTTGATATAGGTCAGAGGAGATGAAACAGCACACAAGCTTCATCCAAGCATCACAGAAATTGACCTAAGGAAGGCAAGGCTCTCAGTTATTCCTCATCCTTTTGATGGGAACACATTTTAGACACCTAAGCACTTGAATAAGAACACACTATTTTAATAAAAYACCTCTGATTAGAACTGTAGCTAATAAATGTGCTCTGCAGGACAGAGTTTTGTCTCTTGTTTTAAACACAATTTTAATTCACCTCTTTGCACTCTACACATTCATCATTCCCTCTGTCATTTATTTCTAACAGCCTAAGAAATCATTCACATGCACTATCCAAGYTGGTATCCTTTATTAGGGGAAAGGAAATATTTAGAAATAAGAGATCCAGGAAATGAGAAGTGAAAAAGAATTATAGTTCCATTGTTGGAAGAGATGCTAATCTCACACCTAACGTTTTAGATTATTGTTAGCCATGGTAAAATCTAATACATTCAAATATGCCCATATTTTCTGGTGCCTTAKTTCTGGAACTAATCCAGTTTTCTAATCCATTGATTAAATAAAGACATCAGGGCCTCTGGTGGGACTCATTTGGGAAACATAAGATCTGTAGAAACACAGATGCTTGCCAGAACCAGTCAACTCACTGCACTCATGAATTCCAAAGAACAAGAGCCAGACAGGCACACTACCTGTGCAGAGTTGATATTCTGGGGGTGAAGCATAACTCTGCAGAAGTTTTCCATAAAAATCCTGATGACTTCAGTAGAAACAGAAACATGAAGAYAACTGCTTCTTGGATTATGAAATTTTATCTATTCACAAGTCAAAAKGAAGAGAGGAGATACCTGTAGGAGTCTAGGATGGAAGTTTTCAACCACTGAATGAAAAACAAGGAAAGTAGAGAGGGACTGACTGCCACGTGCCTCAGATACTAATAGGTGTGGGGACAGTATGGAGACATTTTCAATATATGGTGAGAAATGTTTCAGTAAGCAACAGAAGAGATAGAGACAATTCTTTTCATTTGATATCTCAGGARCAGAAAAAAGAATGAAAAAATAAATAAAATGGTATGTTTGTCTGTGGAGAGGTGCACTGCCAATGTGAAACAGAAGMAATGCTCTTGCGAAGCCAGACAGAAACCCAATAAAAACTAATTACCATGGTCAAATTTTGTGGAGACAGGGAGASAAAAGGCTGAAGCTGCTTCTGACTATATAATCATCAACAGAAGCTTTTTCCCTTCTCAAAAAACACAGTTTAACTGTAGCTCTCAAACAAAAATAGACCAATGTAACTGTTTTAGGAGCTTATGAAATTCTAGATATTTTCTGATTCAACGTAAACAGTGTAATAAAATGTAGTCCCAAAATGCAACCTCAATAAACAAAACAATTGGAACAAAGTAAGCATTCCTTTCTAAAATAAAAAAATATATATTTAATCAGGAATTAATTTTGATTTTGCACAACTTCCGAACTGAAGCAGTAACACCTCTGGCATACTCAGGTTTAGAAGCTTTGACTATTAAGAAATCACCAGGTTGTTGCCCTTAGTCTCCCAGATGCTGTCCTATGGCTCCCAGATGTTTTAGACCCAGCTCTAACAGTCTGAAATGCTGGAAAAGTTTGCATGCACCATGGAAAAGATCTCAAGTTACAAAAGAAACACAACAGAGCAAGAAGAAATTACAGCCACGGTTCTTCCTCTGCTGGGTGATCACAATGGATTCTCAAAAAGTAGACTGCTAGCTTCAATTAATCAGAWTTCCTGCAATTCCCCCAAAATTTAATTGCAATAGAAACTTGTATAAACAGCAGAAAACTTGTTACCTAATTGTCCTATTTACTTCAACTATGCAGGACTTCTTTTAATCACATTGAGCAGGTGTCTTTCACCTCAGCTTAGTATAAAGAGGATTGATACTGAACAGCTGCAAAGAGCTTTGTGTACCTTTACATCTTTCTTGCCCATCTTCTTCTCGGCCTCTTTGGCTGCATCACTTGGAGAACTTGCAACAACCTGGAATTTTTGCTGCCTGGCTTCCCGAAGAGCTTTCTGGGTGGGACCTTCAAACTCTTTCTTCTTTGTACAATCATGGACTACTATAAAATAAAACCACCAAAAGTATCATCAGTATGCTTTTTATTTACTCTTTCCTTACTTAATATTAGCTAGATATGTAAAATAAAAAAAAAAAACACTTTAATAAAAGGATATTCAGGTTTCTGTGCCATCCATATAAAGAATTCCAGGACTACACGTACCTCTACTCCACAAATTATTCCAACTTACCTAAAGCTATCCTAGGCTTGACCCCAAAAATGCAATAATYTTGCAGTACAGAGTGAACTGAATGCATTCTTTCACATCCCTCAGAGCCAGAGGAAACATCAGCTCGCTGAGTCCTATCCAGTACCCACCGTCAATGCAGTATTCTGATCTAGAGCCCAAAAATTCAGTGTTCCCCTGCACTTTCTCCAGACTCACCTTTCAAACAAGGAATTACTGATGAATTTAAAAAAAAAACAAAAAACCTCCTAAGCAGGTAACACAGCTTTAAATCAAAGGCTGAAAGGAATAGGAGGAAGAGTGCAGCCCACATGGACTATAGCTCAATGCATCTGCCATGACGTGGCAGAAAGGACACTTTTCTCTGACAGCCCTTGTCTCGGCAGCTCACTCAAATCCAAACAGCCCTTTGTGATCCCTGCACCTTGTTGCAGGGCTCTGTTGGATGTACATGGGCCTACATGAAAAAGAATATAACACTGTTTTCCAGCAGGATTTGGGCACTTACATCCCTCCAGTTCTTTGAAAAAAAAAAAAAAATCTCTGATTGAAAAAATTCATTATGCAGCTAAAATCCAGAATGAAATGAATGTACTTCACATGACTCATTTGTAAATGCTTGCTCCTGTAAAATGGTTTTATTAAGACATTGACACCGAATCGCAAACTTGATGACTTAAAGGGGAAAAAAGTGTAAACACTCCTGAGGTAAAAAAATTAGCAGATCAAGGAAACAAAACCTTCCTGCATACCCAGCCTGAATCAGAATGGAACTGGTGAAAAGACCTGTGCTTGATTAAAATAAATTTTAGTATTTAAATATTCTCACATTTTTAAAAATTAAAGATGCTGTCACAGATATCCTGAATAATAACTTTCTCTGAGCAACAGTAAACAGCAAAATTGGTGAATCACCTTCTACTCACTTAACTTCTTTCCACATGCTGCTTACAGAGCATTGGTGCTTTTGAAATACACATACCTATAAAGCAACAGAGTTATGATAGTTGCAGAGCTTTAAAAGTCAGTAACKACTAAAAAAAGAAAAAAATTAGTTCAAAGAACTGCTGCACTGAGATGTGAACAGCTTGGGTTTAAGGATTTTCTATTTTGATTCCATTGCACACGGAATGGGCACAACCAGCCTGAAGTACTTCAACTGGTGCATTTTAAATTTCTTTTTGCATGACCTTCTAACTGCAATTGCATCAGATTAGGAAAGGAAAAGCACAGTTAACAGTCTTASCAATGAGTTAATTCAACCATGAGTAAAGAAACTCATTGAGTTCAACTTTTGAATATAATTGGGTAATAAATAAGCAGCTGTTGTTTTTAGAAAATACAAGAAGACAAGAGCAAGGAGCAGTTTTATAACATGTTTAGAACCAGTTGTTATAGCAGTGTTCACTTAGGTTTATAAGCAAGCCACAATCAAGAGAGCTTAATTCCTGCAGGCAAAAAGAGTCTTTTTTTTCAGAACACCAYTTAACCCTGTGTTTTGATCCGTAAGGAAGGGTGCAAGCACTCTGTTAACCTACACCAATAACCTAAAAAATCAGCTCTCTCTCTTTGATAATTAGATTTCTTTATGTATGATCTTGCTACCACATCGGAAAGGACCAGATTTAAAACAGAACCCATTTTTAATGCAGATGTCCTTAAAAAAAATAAAAAATCCATTACTTTAAAAAAAGTTATCTGAACTCAAAATACATCTTTGTTTTCAGAGCTGGTTTCTGTGTGGGCATAGGAGAGAGAACCAGTCYACAAGATGACCAAGCTGCAGCAATAATTGCTAACTAGTTCCTCTCCAACTATTACGTGTCCTTCATATCAATTTGAAACAAGCAAGGCAAGAATTAGGAAATGAAAACCTAGGTTTCTTTAGGTGTCTTGAAAATTATTACAAGTGCTTCTCGCGAAGGATTTCTGTACAAAGCTAAACAGCAGCCTGACAGTGAGACAGCAAAAAACTGCTAGTAAATAAATTACATGCTCTGTATTGTGGATGCTATCTTCAATTGCTTGAAATGCAGCAGGCTGAAAGCTCCTACATCAAATTCCTGAGTAATAAAGTCCAGAATAGTTGCCCTGAAATTAACATTAAGTACTGTTAACTTTTTTCTACCTAGCTGCCAGATACAAATTCACAATGCAGACTCATGGTGAATACTAAGAACCTTCCCTTTGTTCTTTATTGTGCAGTGTATGATTCAGGGAGAAACAAAGCAACACATTCAGGGAGAAACAAAGCAACAAAATCACAGTTACTGAATGGTCTGGGTTGKAARAGACCTTAAAGCTCATCCAATTCCACCCTCTGTTTTGRGCAGGAACACYTTCCACTATCCCAGGTTGCTCCAAGCCCTGTCCATCCYGGCCTGGAACACTTCCAGGGATGGGGCAGCCACAGCTYCTCTGGGCASCYTGTGCCAGGGCCTCCCCACCTYACAGGGAACAATTTYTTCCTAATATCTAAATTAAACCTATTCTCTCTCAGCTTGAAACCATTCYTCCTTGTCCTGTCACTACATGCCCTTGTAAAAAGTTCCTCTCCCACTTTCTTGGAGTGGATGTGCAGAACCTCAGCAAATCCAAAACAAATTAAAAGCCATTCTCAATGCCCTCTAGCCAAGCAAGCATTCCAGGCGCACAACAGCCAATTCAGGCTGTTGGACAGACACAGCCTCAGGAGCAGTGAAGGGCAATTCCCCACTGCTGGGCAGAGCCTTCTCCTTCCTTGAGGCTCTGCAGTGCAGTGAAAGCAGACACCTGGCCAGGAGAGGCARCTCTACTTGCCAAGGATCACTTGCCACCCTAGGTGTGCATTGTCCTCTAACTCAAACAATCCCCATTAGAAGTCAACCCAGAAGACTGGAAAGTGCACCTGGAAATATCTTTACAGACCAGTTTCCAACACAAACAGCACYGGTTCCTTCCAAACTAACAATCTGAATTTAGAGAAAAATGAAGCAAACATTTCTCCAGTATCCAGGCACTGCTTGTTTCTCAGGGTTGCATTTATACTCCCTCAGGAATAAGAAACCAAGAGGTAACTGAACGTGATCACCTTTCAAGAAGCAGCAGAAAGTATTTGAAAAAGAGACAGTATCACCCACTGAGACACGAATGTGACCTACAGAGGGCAATAAAAATTATGTASTATTAGAGGACAAAGCACTGAAACAAAATGAATTGAAACAGTGATTAATTTATGATACCCCAGGTATGAAGCAAATTAAGACTTGCAGAAGCATGTGGGTGGCTGATGAGYTTAGTTTGTGTTGGAGACTGACAGGGTTTTTTTAATATAATTATTTAGCAAATGGCTCCCTTGCTTGTTATTTCTTGGTATTACAAAGTGCTCCCAAAAATTCTGGAGAATAAACAAGAYTGAACAGCCAGAGTGTTTTTTAGAATCAAACAACAAATGAAAGTATATTTAATATGAAAAGGAGAACATCCCTACTGTAAAAACATAAGCACAGGGGAGATCCCACACATATATCCTCAAGKCAGAGAATATCTTAATAGGAAAGGAAATGCTTCCTAGCCTCTACACCCAACCACAAACATAAAAAAACCTCAAATCAATGTATGTGGCTACTATTCTTCTTCTCAGCCATGTCTTTTCTAGAGGAATTTTACACAATGGAAGGAATTCCATGAACATGGGAACTTGATTGTCAAAGGCTGGGGTAATTCAGTGGCTTTTTACCTGGGGGTATATTACCAATGCCAAAGGACATTTGGGCATTAACACATGGTAAAAAAAAAACAACAACAACAAAAAAAAAAAACAAACCCAAAATCCCACAAACCAAGATGATACTGAAATTGCCCTAACTGGAACAAATTCTTCACCTGGATGATGTACAATCCTTGTTGGGTCCTCTAATTTCAAATAACAATTATCTCTGATGAGAGTCCTGCTCATGACTAAGGCAGGTGCAACATCCCCTTCACATGTGAATACATCCCCCTACACATGTGAATCCCCTTCACATGTGTTGTCAGAGGATAGAGCTCACCATCTGCCCTTTGTACCATCCCAGTTAYTTGCAGGAGAATTTAAGAAACCTGGTTTCTTTGAGACCTACCTTACTATCAAATGTTGCTACARCTGAAAAATAGATTCAAAATTATTAGTGGGATTGATGGTTTCAGAGAATRTGATAGCATGGGCTTTATTTCCTTAGGAAAGCAGAGGTGCTAGGGTTCTCCYGACATACTTAGAAAAAATAATGCAAAAATGACACAGGGAAGTGTGTGGTGCCATACAGATACTATTCCAGCAGGTATTATATCATCTTAGCAATCTTCTGGAAAAATGAGAGTCTGGATCTCATAATAGCAGAATTTTCAAAATGTTTCCAGACCACAATGTATTCTTTCTGAAGGGTGAGCTGAGAAAGAACACATGCACACACACAAAAAAAGGGAGTATTAGCAGATACAACAACAAAATCAGACACAAAATAGATTTTTAGAACCAAGTCCTTCCAAGTTACACACATATTCTATATTGCCTTCAGCAGTCTCACTCCCCTTAGCAGATATCATTTGAATATTTTATTCTGAAATGTAAAACAGTTGTTCAGACACCAGGTCATCTGATAAAATGTAGTGCAAGTATTTTTGATTTACTGTTACACCAGATTTTGAGATGCATCACAACAAAAAAGAGGCCATAGCCAGTCTGAACCTGGTGATGGGAATATTTTACCTTTTGTCTCAGCAGTCTGCTTAGGATATCCTGACTCCAAGCTTTCTAATGCAGCCTGCAAACCTGTAGCCTAATTTAAAAAAAAAAAAGGAAAGAACAAGAGGAACAAATATGAGAACATTCCTTTTGGAGTGTCTGTTCACAACACACAGCATTCAAGCCTACTTATTTCRCAAATTCTATACATGGTAAATTCCTTTCACTTTACCCACATATAAATGGTGCTACTGCTGAAATGCATTTGGTAAGGTTTTTCCTTTTTTTTCCCCACTTATTTTCTTAAACACATGCAAGGTAATTTTCTGGTTTTCATCCATCCTATCTGTGCTCACACTGCTTCCTATCCAAGGGGCAGAATATCTTCTATACATCAGGTAAGATTAGGAGGGGTAAAAAGACACAATGTAAATATTCCACTCAAGACAGAAAAACTGTCTCTGATCTCTTCTTGCATTTTTTTTTGCTAAACTAGCAGGTCATTCCTGGATATGTTTAGGAAAAAATAAAATAATAAACAATAATACAGAAAGTTAAAATAAGCTTTTTCCAAAGGCAYAGAAGGAAGCCATGGTGATCTGTGTGAATATCCCACCTTTCCTTAAGCTGTTGGCACTGAAGGTGCATCAGGATCTGCACATTGCTGACTCACGCAGAGCAGCACTAAGCAAGYACACACTGACAACTCTTACTTTGTGGCACCAAGTTTCACATGCATTCACTGCTAATATTTCACCAAATCATGAAACTCACAAAATATTTTGCTTAAGGCTATTGTATAAGTAAGTTGCTGTACCAGMAATATCCTGTGTATTTACCAAATAAAAACCAGAAGCAATCCTTATGCTGTGCAAGTGGTGTTCACCACAGTTTTACCTGCCCCACTGCTTTGTCTCTCTCCAAACTAGTTAACATTTTCAGGGTCAGTGTATTCTGGTATCTTTCAGACAGCTCCTTCAGCATTGGTTCRTAGGATGCATAATGTGCCTTCAGCCTGTGAGCAACAGGAGGAAAAATAATTCCTCACAGACTAGTGAAATCAGAGATTTATATCTGCATAATTTTTCCCCTCCCCAAACAAACAAGTAAAATTACCAAAAGGTCAACACAAAGGAGACAGCAAAGYTATTTAGTAGGCAACCACCCGACTGCAAAACCATAAGGAAAGAGAAAAAAATTATGAAAAAAGTCAGATGAGTGAATGAGAGGATTCACAGCTAATGTTTGGTCACATCTTACAACAATSCATCCAATTTTGTCTTGTTCTTATTCCTTCATAAACAGACTGCACATTAATTTTGGCTACTTTGTTTTCTTACAGATGGATTGCATTTCACTGGAAGAAAGAACTACAGCTGTTATTTGACTACCAAATAAGATTCTCATCTGGACAAAGCAGTCATAATATGATCACTATTTCTTTCTTCACTACACATTTCACTGAGAATGCTTAAGCACTTTAATTCTTCAGATAAACTAAGACTCAGACATGTAATCTCTCAAGAGAAACACATGACACCAACAGCTCCAGAACCACCACATCCTGCAAAAAGCTGAGTCACAGAGGACAAATCAGTGCAGAGTGCTCTCTTGCATTAGCATGTATGCATTCCAGGGGTGAAGATGTAGAACACAGAGCTGCTATTACCTGCACTGACTGATAATAATACCAACAAAACTATGGGAATTAATTGRAGATATAAGCCTCTCCCCAGTGTTRTTTTAAAACAAGTGCTGGCAAAAACAYATGCAAATGAGAGATTCTAAATTCAGCTTCTATTTAGAAATTGAATTACTATAACTCAGTACCAATGGACTAGCTTGGGGTTATTTGCAACCCAAGCAACACAGCATGTTTCTTACTGATGACAGAAAATGCCAGCTATGAGGATCACTACTGCAAAGGTTCTGAACTTGGTGTGACACCAGTTACCCTTAAAATCACAAAGGTTCTAAACAGAAGTCACTGCCTATTTATGGCAAAAGATCTGAGTAAAAGAAAAATCTCCTTTTTGTTTCCAACTATTAGAGATTCTATGTATTCATTAATGCCATATTGCACCATAGAAAATCCACTAAAAACAAATCATTGGAAATTCTTTGATCTTTGTGACACAGTGGTCACATGGAGCTGCTCTTTACCAGGACACTAAGTAAATGCAGCTAGACTCACTTTAGCACTTTGGATTCCACGATGTTATCTGAGTACCACGTAACAATTCAACACACTATATTTACTGCTACATGGATAGCAACCAAAATTATTTTGTACCTTTTCATGTCACTAATCAGCCGGTCCTTCTCCTGGACCACTCGCTTATGATGCATTCGATGGAAGTCTCGCTCTTTCTGCATTTTGATGAGAGCCTGTTCTGTTTTACTGTGTGTAAAAACAGCAAATGCAAGGCAGCAGTGTTAGTCTCCTGTGAATTGCATCAAGGTATGCTGAATACACATGGAATTAATTTTCAGATATGCACATGCCTACTGTATCCAAGCTGGAAGTTCTTGGTAGCACACCCTATGCCAGAGAATATGTATTTTTGAGGTCATTTTGCTGCCAGCTGAGGTTCAAAACCATGGCTGCTCCTCCTCTTGCATCAGATCCTTTAGACAGAATCCATAAGGGTTCTGGCATTATAAATCTCAAGAGTTGAGGTCAACTTTACTTTTAGCACAAGGAGTCTCATGGAGGTACAAAACCCATCCTTTTGTTTAACATTCTATGTAAAAGTGCATTGATAATAGCGGTCACATACTGAAAATACTGATTTTTTAAATATCTACATCACACCTGTATTGTTGCCTTGCAAATTATTTTGGAGAGCCTTCTGGAAAAAGTTGAGCCAGAAAAGTTTTGGCTCTCTACAACTGCGTTTGTAACCTGTCCATAGGTGTTCCCTGGATGTGAGAGCAGGCAGCAAAAGGAAYCCATTTCAAAATTAATTGTAAACATACTGATAACCTGTTATTCTCTAAGCACATTCTACACACAGCCATGGGAGATCCTGAGATGCTCTGCTGCATAAACCTAGAAAGAAAATACTCTGCATATATCCAGCACATTTTCTCCTTGCCTTTATTGATATGAGTTTGGCAGGACAGATTAGTAGATGAATCGTTTAATTGCAAAGGAAGCTTGAAATTACCTTGCACTGAAATTAGACATTTACTTCTTGCAGAAATAAAGCTCATTTCCTCTGCAACAGAAGCCAAAGAATTAGGTAAAACCAAAATGAAAACCAAGTATGCCAAAATCAGAGATCCAGGAAGAAGATCCATAACTGCCAGTGCATGATGTTTAATAATTTAGAATATAAATAATTTACTAATACAAATAATTTCTATGTGCTGTATATACAATCACTGTATTTGTTATCTAGACAAAGTCCCCTATTTCCACATGTATGTTTATATGTGAATTGGTGCTTATAGCAGAGGCCTGAGGGAGAGCCCAGTGAATTAATGCCAGCAGCTCTCTGTAAAAGCTGAGCAAAAGCTGGCAGGGCCATGGAAGCGGGCAGGGCTGCCCCTCCCACAGGAGCCCCGGGCACACACATCACGCTGTGTGCACAAACACCACAACCTGGGAAGCAGAGGAACTCAGGATATTGGTATGGAATACAAAGCCCACATTAATGATTCTGCTCAGGCTTYTACAAACATTTGAGAGGTAAATGAATCAGTGATCTCAGGACAGTTCTGGGAAACAACTCCCTCATGACACCACGCTCAAAATCTGACTTGCCATAAAGACCTTRAATGCAAACTCTGCCCCTTCAGAGMTCAGCAGAAGGTTTGTTCCGAGCATAAAAGATGTCGCTACTGCCATAGCAGAGCCAATATCCATTTCTTTTAGGGAAGATAAATGTCAGAGTCTGCAGGTCTCGTCATTTAAACTTCTCTCAAGCAAGTACTTCTRTTAAAATAGCAGAAGAGGATAGGATGCAATTAGACCCAAGTAGGGATTTTCAGAGGCAAGTTACAAGTCCCGATCCCACTGAATTTAGGTGGGACTACATTGCCCAAGATGCTACAAGTTGTAGCCCTAAAATTTTAATTGAAATAGAGACAGTTTTAGAAAACCCGTCTCTACTAGAAACCATAAACTCTATCTAATTCAAACAGCACTTAGCAGCAAAGATGCCAAATGCACATTGTAATTAAACAGCTGCAAAACACAACACAAAAAGTGTGCACGTTATTTTTTCCATGGTGTAAGTGGAAAAATATGTGCAGGAATAGTTAGATATGGGTACAGAAATAGGAGATGAACTGAGAATTTTGTTGCTGGCATTGTCTCTAACAAAAAAAAATAATAATGACCTCCAGGATTACATTATATTTTGATCATTACTTTGGCTGTAAGCTGGGTGTACCTTYGTGAGCATTTTTCCAAAAAACAGGACAGAACAGTACCTGCAAATGATAACACTTCCTAACTGATGCTGTGAACTCAACTACAAACCTCAGGCAAAAGCTTGACACAACTTTCATTCTATCTACATAAGAAAATTTCTGAACTTCTAAAGAGCTTATAAACATCACAGTTCACAGTCCCTGTGACCAACACARTCTTAAAGATGATATAACATTTCTCTAACAGCATATGTTTAAATAAATAGGCAATAGACATGGTCTGGCCACAGGAAGACTCAAAAATGTAATGTGGCAAAAGAATGTAAAATTGATTTTGCTTTCTATCACCACACAATGGTCATTTTTAGAAATCATTTACACAAATATCAGTAGTATATCCATACTTTAAGGTAATAACTATACCTAGTTTTACAGTAAATGATTATGCTGATATTTGTTTCTTTTAATATATGCGGAGACATCAAGACACCTTCAGACATTGCACAAGCTATAAAAAATACATGCTCACTTTGCAGAGGAAATTAAGCCAACTGTAATTTTCTCTTTAAATAATGAAACACCACAGTGAAATCTAACCAACAGCCTGCAATCTACTCAATTTGCCCCCCTGCTTGCATGCAATCATGTAAATACAGTATTAAAATACCCAAACTACAATTACAGTTAGCTTCTAGACACTAAATGTCTTCCACCATTGCTAAACAACATTAAAGCAGGAGGTAATTGGTTTACAGTCATTTATCCTGGGTCCCCATACTGCCTAAGTCCCAAATAACATCTCTTTTCTGCAAGATGGCCATCAAGAACACCAAGCTCCGAAATACCAAATGTAATTAAAAGCTTTCCTCAAATGCACTTCACAGCACTGTAGCTCTCAATCAATGTTTTCTGACTAATCCACAGAGCAAAAYAGAGGACCTTCCTTGCTCACAAATCCTTGGTCTCTAACCAGTCAAATCAGCATTTCTCCTGTGCTCCTAGGCATTCTGCTTTCTGTATCATTCTCTCTGAAAACTTGGAARCTCACATCATCCTCCAGGTAATTTTGGCTCCTGTTGGAATATTTACTTCACCACAAAGACAGTGACTCAAGTTACTGATTGTATGAACAAGGAAAAATGCTGTTAACAGTCACTACATTAAATGGATTTAGTATAGAGTATTATGACCAGGGTTTATCCAAAAGATATAAAGAGAACACAGCAGCATGATATGTACAGCAAAAACGCTCAATTTCACACTTGCCAATTATTTCAGAAGCAGTAATGGTTTAATTCATCGATTATTCAAAACAATTTAAATTAAATCAATGTCGCAAAAGTTGAACTTTTAACATTAGTATCAATGAAATCTTTGYGAGTTATTTGAAATGAAAAGGCTGAAAAGTGAAGTAGTGACAAACTACTATTAGCAAAGACCAAATTTTACACTTTCCTACACTGCATTCCAGTAACAGCTGACAGATTATGGAAATAGAGCTCTCCCTGCAAGTCACAAATGGGGGGTCTGGTTTTAGCAGTGTTTGAACAAGGCACCCGCAGAATACCTGCAGTGTGTAACAAGAAATGCCAGTGAACAAGATGTGCTCACACAGAATTTTTGTCATTTAGAGCCACCCTKAATCTCACTGCCCTCTCTGGAACACCAAAACAGTGACACAACAYATTTGTTTGCCACCAGTGTGTTGCTACTTTGGTTTCCAGCAAACACCAGAATGTAAAAAACCAGTTTCAGTTCAGGGATTGAATTTGAGTGTTGGGATTTTAATTTAACAGATAACCTGGCACTGTCTTTTCYGGCTCCTGCTACTTCCTGTTGCCCATTATCATGTTATCTTTCAGTCTGTTACCAGACAGTTGCTATAAAAACCTTCCTGGCACCCCATGGAGTAAAAATATSATCTTATGGAACAAAGCCCAGCTCATTCAGACCATGGTGAAATAAGTTTGAGCTTTATGCTGTTAAATAATAATGTAGCAATACAACAAACCCAGGAAAACTCTTACAAAGACATAATCCRCCCAGGTTATCTTGCTAGATACTTGCTAGAACATGTTCTGCTTCATACATGGAGTGAAGAGAGGGAGGAAGAGAGAAAAAAAGGTAGGGAGGAAAAGAAATTAAAGCTCTTTGGAATTACTACTGCCAAGGATAAATTTCATGAGGGCCACATTTTGTCTTTCCTTCTTTTACTCTGCATTACTGCCTCTTACTGTACCCCACTTACAAGAGACAATCTCTGAGTACACATTGTCCCAAGATGCTGCAGATTAAAATAAGTGATGCTTTCTGATTAAAGTAAGAGATGCTTTCTGTATGGTCTGTCTMCCAGTGAAACATTATTTTCAGACTACGCATTATCTGACTTGATTGTTGCCACTGTTTATTCAACTACTTGACTGTGGCCAATTAGTTCATTAATTTAAAATGTAATAAATCATTGCAATCAGAAAATAATTTAATTACCATTATCAGCAGCAATGATTGTTTAACATCTGAATAGGTTTTTTTTTCATAGAAAGGAACAACCTAAATGAAAATTAGCAACTTGAGCAATCCTGAGGAAAATCAAAGAGATGGAATTAACTTTACAGCTCTATGTTTTAAAACCACACACTGGCAAATCTGACGTGAGTGCATCATTAGGTCTCAGAGTACCTTCTCAATGAACACAAACATGTGCAAGCACACCATTCTCCAGAAAAGGCCAAGTGACACGGGGTTCATTACCACATCTCTCCTTTCATAGGCTAAGTATTGCAACTCTCATAACTGGAGCACTGCAGACTTGCAAAATAAACTACTGGAATGTACACACTAGTATAATCAATGATGGTAATTTACACTGACATACCATTACCACTAGGCCCAGAGTGATAGATTTTTTGTAATTAAAAAAATGAAGAATAAATGTATAGTGATTCTTTTTTCCCTATGCTGAAGGTTTGTGGTAGCTATAATTTATAGTGCAGCAATACAAAATGCATGTAACAATTTATTTTTTAGTTCTACCTATTAGGCTCTCATGATTCTCTGTAGGAATTTGTTATGATTATTGGATATTGAAAATTATTTTTGGCCTAGTAAATACAAATAAAAGAAATTAAGATTTACATTTCTAACAGAACTCAGAGAAACTTGAACCTTAATTATAAATGTCACCTAGAAATAAAAGTATGTGCAGTCAGCATAACAAACAGGAACTTACTATTTTTCACTAAGCACCTGGGTTTACTTTATCTGGCCATCTTACTGCCATATGTAAAAGTTTCAMTAAAACAAAATAACATACGTGACAGATTGTTTGTAGTTTTCTATATCTTTCTTCAACCTCAGGTTCTCACTCTCGAGTTTCTGGTTGAGGGTGTACACGGGTGGAACCAGCCCAGCATCGTCAACTGAGATCACACCTCTCTCRGTGAGTTCGTACCTGGTAGAAAAGGAACAGATATTTTATTCCATCTTTCCATTTCCTCACTTCACTCCTGTTTTCCTTCTTGTGCTACCATTTACCTAAACTAGAATCATAGCAACATTTATCACCTCAAAGCATTTACCTTCTACGATCATTAAGAATTCACAGCATTACTGCTCYGCACTGTTCTATTTTACTGCTTTTCATTCTAAAATGTGTATTGTTAATAAGAGTCAAGATACATAACACAGTACTTAACATTAAACAATTGTTTTCTTCCTTCCTTTCTTCTAAATAGCCTAAATAAAAGACAGAAACAAATATTCTTGTTCAAATAGCAGTTGTATGTATTCACAGTCCTTTTTATCTCACATGCTTAAATATATCAACTTTTTTTTTTTGAGGACTCAAGCTGCAGATAATAAGGATGAATGATTCTGAGCTATCTTCAACATAGAATACAGAGCTCACCTAGGGAAATTTCTTCATTCTTTCCTGCTTATTTTCCTTCTTCTTATTTAATTATATTTACTAATATTTACCTGTTTTACCAGCCCCTGAGTACACTTGATTCTGTGATGTACAGAACTGAAGGCTGCTTTAGTTAAATACTTGTACAGACTGACGTGGATTTTGAGAAGTAAAAGAATCTGAAACAGCCTGGAATGCTGGGTAGCACCCCAGGAGTCTGTGACACTGGGTAGCACCCATTGCCACAGCCCTGACAATAACATCTCCTCATTCAGTATCCTATTTTAGAACTACCCATATTTTGGTAATATGTCAGTAACAACTCCAAATACAGTACAGACAGAGAGTGAGACCTCAGCCATGACAACAGTTCACCAGAGGTTGAATGGAGTTGTAACTAACTTAAATCAGATGAAAATTATAACCCCACAAACACCTCCCCTGCTGGGACGATATTCCAGGCAGGAGTTCACCAGAAGGAGCAATATGAACATTATTTGCCTTTTCAGGTGAAAGATAGATTGAATTTGTGCATTGTTTCATTTTCAAGTAATAAGGAAGTATGAAAAGAACAGAGGTAAACAGAAACTAAAAATATATTAAATGCTATCTCCCACACCTGGACACAAGCAGCAGATCWGAAACCTGAAGACAGTAATCACCAATATAATTCATCAATAAGCACGTTGCAGAAACAAAAAGCATTTGTAGCATWAAAGCAATCTTTACTTAACATCCTCCAAAAATCTTAAGGGGAATGTTAGTATCTCTGTCCAAATTACTTCCTACAGTCAGCTACGTATTTGCATTCTGAGGATACTATTTGAAATGTTCATCCCTATGAATTAAGCTGTCACACTCACCACCAGCAGATGAAAGGTTTTTGAAAAATTCAACTGAACATGCCCACAGTAAAATTCATTCTATCATCACTTCATTTTCTTAAGTAAATTACTGCAGGAACAGGCTTTAATATTAAGAAAGAAGCTAAGGATTTTTTTTTTCTTTCCTCCAAACAGTGACTGATGCACAATACAATTCCTATCATAAATATCACAAATGAGGGCACCCTCATGGCAGAAAATCACAACATAGGTACTCCTTTACTTGCTGGAAGCATTTCTCCACTGAATGCCCTACCTACACTTCATGAAAACCATCAATACCTGCACAAACACTCATCAAAAATGGATAACTGATGAACATAACTCCAGCACAGCTAAAAACTCTAAGAGACAATTTTCATGAAACACAATTAATACCAATAAACTCACTACACCYTTGTCTAAGAACAGTACTAAAAAGAAATGCTTTTGTGCATGTAGCAGAAATGGAAAMTCACACAACAAACTGCACTGAGAAATCTCATTATCTTTCATCAACCTGGCCCTGTAAATCTCACAGACCTCCTAYGTACTGAGCCGACTGCCAAATAGCTGCTCTTCTCACTTCTTTCATTACAGATGGAAATTAAATTAGTTCCATGCACACAYAGGTATTTTACTAAGCTTTTCAGAACTACTGAGTTATAATTCTTAAATCACTATTAAAAATTAACCAAAAATCTGGAAACCTAAGGAACAGATGGCTAACTACGATTTTGTCATCAAAGCCCAGTGCAGACTGACTGAAAATAATACATTTTTACTACACACTTTAACTCCTGGATACTGGAATTCAAAGGAATCAAGTTGCAGAGMGGCCCTGCAACAAACTGATAGCTCAGAATGACCTGGGCTCTCAGGCATTACRAGGGAGAGACTGGAAGATGTAGGAATTTACAGCTGATCAGCCTGTGCACTTCATACTAAAACCTGTCAATCCAGTATCTTTAATAAACAGCAAAAGTGCTATCAAGTCTTGTATAACAAAGGAATAGAAATTTCAATGGAAAATTAGATATTCAAAAAATAATTTAACTTTAAAGTTCYTTAAAGTAGAATTGGAATAAAAAGTTTATGTGCAAAACAACCTACATAATTAAAGAAAAAAAATCACTACAACTGTTATAAAATTATTCATGACTTCATTGAAAAAATGGTATTGGCATAAAATAAACCATAATCAAATCACAGCATTTTATACAGCTGGATGAAATAACACTGTTTTCTCAAACTCCAAAATAAACACAGATAATTTGGTCCAATTTAAGTGACCTTTAGATCTCAGACAGACAATAATTTCAAAGCCAGCCTTTTGATAAATTTTCCCTACATTAATTAATTTCTCATTTTAAATTCCATTAGTACTTGATCATCACAGCATGAGAGCAAGAGTGTCGTCCCAATACATAATGAGGAACCCAAGTACACTAATCTGCTCTCACTTTCATTAATATTGTAAATTATCCATTTCAAACCAACATGAAACATTCTGAAATAAGGTATTAATGCAGAAAGTCTCTATACAGCAAGATTAGATACCGACATGCCGAGCTCATTTGTACTGCTACTGAAATCAAAAGTATTACTTTTAGAGAAAAAATATATGTACAGCTAAGAATTTACAAGATAGGCCTGTTAAATACTGCTCTTTCTGTTAAAAAGCAATTTGAATTTTTGCCATTGATATAAATTCAGACTAAGTGCTTCAAAGAAAGCCGTAGCTTCATAAAAAGGTCACTATTTATATCTGTCTAGTATTAATTATCTTTTAGCATCAAAATTATTAGACTTCAAACTTAATGCTATTCATATCAKATCCTTTATTGAGAAAGAGTACAGAACTATAGTGCTCCTTCTCCACGGAATCATTTAAGTCCATTGTTATGCAATCAAAATRCAGATCATTATTAATTCCAAAGGCAATGCTTGATTGATGAGTAAGACCAGAGCCTTGAAAAYKACAGCAAAKATTCCACACCTGAGAATATTTCTCATAAAATTTAAAAGCTTCAATGCTACTGTATGAAAAAAATAAATGTTTCTAACTTTTTCTAATTTTCAAATTACGCAAATTCAAGGGCTCTTAGTTAAAAAAAAAGGCTCTGAATTTCTCATGTTTAAAACTGAGAACAAGGTAAACTAAAGGCAGGTGTTTCCACTTCTCAGAATTTGTCCAATGTAACCTGCAGATTCAAAGCAAGCCTTTTACTTAATGTACTTCAACAGAACTTTAAGTGGTGTCTTTATAAGAAGGTGTCATCTTCTGCTCCAAAGTAATTCAGCTCTTCCCTAAAGCTTTGCAGCATTCCTCACACAATTTTAATTAATATTAAAAAAGCATACATCCTGCAGGATGTATGAAGAGAGCAGTGTATTTAAACAAAGCTRTACCTTTAAACATCTGCACAAAGTATGGACAAAATCCCTGCAATCTACAAATGCTTGAAAAGAAAAGATAGCAACAGCTCAAGAGTTTAATCTTCYGATTACTGTATAAACTATAAAAGCCCCATATTTATTAACTGATGTACCAAAAATTACCAGATAATAAATATTTGGATTATTCTACTTGAACAAGAGTTTGCATCTTCATTCTTACCAAGAATGTATTTGTTAAAACACTACATATTTGAGAATGACATACACTCAGGAGAGCTTGCTGAAAAAATATCCTGAAATACCAAAAATATTTGAATCCTGAGCATCTAATTCCCAAAGTGACATGGTCACTTAAAATATTTTACCATTCAGTCTGGAAGCAGTCAAGGGTTCTAGACATTCCCAATCTGACCAGGAAATTGCAGAAGAAGTCATCCATTGCTTGAGGTACTTCTGATACCACCTTCTGAGAAGTCAGAATTGGCTGTGAAGCCTGAAATTAAATTTTGATAACTGTTAAACTTACAATAGGAATGTCATTATCATATTTTCTATTTCTGAAGTCATCTAAAATCACAGATCTACTGGAGTACAGCTCAATGTTTCCCTTGTCTTCAGAGATCAAAAGTGCCAGCAGTGATCCTTCTAATGTCAAGGTTTGTGAAAGGTTATAAAGAAATAACTCAAACTCCACCTTACTTAAGCAGGTGTTCCAAACCTGACATCATCTGGTAGAGACTTGAAAGTACTAAAAGTGATGGATGATTTTTTGTCACCAACCAGAGAGAACAATCAGTCCTTACCWAATGCAAAATGTAGCATTCAAGGTGACATTAGAATGAATGGTTTGTATGCTTTTTGCAAAGATGCATGCAATGGAGGGACAGACAGAACCCCCATCTCTGATCCCTTAGGAATAAGTTTCACAAAGATCAAGTGTCCTTTCCTCTCAACATGCACCGAAGGGAGCTGCCAGACAACACTGCTACAAGTGTTAGCAGAAGGCAGATGGTGCAGCAGGGCTTGGTGTGCAGCTCCCCCAGTGCCACCCAGACAGACAGCTCTGCAGAGGAGGTCAGCTCACAGGGCAAGCACATCGCCAAAAGCAGAATCAAAACACAACAGAGCAATCCTACAGAGAGAAACATTCAAAAAAAAAAACCTTTCACAGCTTTCTGATGTAATGCAAATCTCTTCCCTTCACCCATTCAGCCCACTCAGCACACAGCTTAGTGTTCAGCTCTCCTAGAGAGAATTCAGCATGCAAGGAGGTATGAAAAAAGAAAAATATGACCCAGTCTGAGACTACTCCCCCACAAAAAGCATTTCAAGATAATGAGATGAGAGAGACTGCCACAACTCAGCAACCAAGGAGGTGGCCTTATTTCATTCAGATATCAAATGGATTGCAGTGACTTGACACACCTAAATATGAGGKTCTTGGCTTTTGGGAACTCCACGTGGGCACAGTGCCACAATGGACCTGCTCAACAATGCATGACAAGCTTCGGCCCTGAAAAAGCATCTTGGTGAAAGATTATAAAAAATACCACAAAACTGAAAAAAAAAAATTTAAGAGATTTATCAAGCCATGGTAAGGCTGTGACTGCAAATCATTTCCTCCACCCATTTAAAAAAGAATCTGTAAGGTCAGGGATTTCAGATAATTCCATTCATTTGTGGCTTATTCATGCCCTTAGTGACAGCCCTCTCACTGTGAGTGCATAAATTACCTGGAGATAAAGGCATTTCTCTCGATAAAATAAAAACACTGGAAAAACCTCTCGGCTATTTTGTAAAACACAGAAAACATTGTCTTCAAACCAAACAACCTACCTAATATAACAGAAAGGATTGTACATGTCTGATGCAGGCCATGTAACACTACTTTATGACTAATACAATATGCCAAGTGCAATGCAATATTTAGCATATTTTCATTACTAGAGCTCTAGTACATCAGGCAGGTCTSTTCTCTAATTGTGGTAAAACAAGAACCAAAGAGCACATGGGCACACATGCAGCTACATCACTTGGCTTGCTTCTTTCTTTATTCCAAGTGAGGCAAATGTCTAATATTGTTGCTTGTAGTTTTCCAAAAACATCTATAAAGCCAGTCTTTGGAAGAAGTGACACAGTTGGATTCCCTTAATAAACGGAAATATGATAGGAATTCATTTCATCTGTGCAGAAGAGAATTTATTACCAAGATACCAGCACTGAGCATCATTTCAGGAACCAAAGCTCGAGCAGGGAACAATATATGGAGAAATTAATTCAGTCTAACAGGCACAGAATTGGAACAGGGCCTCAGGAAACCAGAAGCCAATTCTCAGCTCTGTCCCAGACCTTAGGAGTGATATTCGGCCAACCGCTTGCTTCAGTTTCATTGTAACCATGGATGACCAGTAGAATGACAAAACAATAATTTTGTTGTACATGTTTGCTTTCTTGGAAATGAAGAAAATACAATCAATTCACATGATAAAAAAAAAGACATCCTACAGCATTTCTATGAACAAAACTATCTTAATGAAAGATTCTGACTGTAGAGTCAAAATAAATTAAATACGTGCTTTGGTAAATATTTCTTTGTGTTAATTAAAATATTCAAAACATTTTGAGTGTAAGAGGTTAGCCTTAGGTACTTCCACAACACTCCTAAGAATTTCTGTCCTTGCAAGGATTTCTGTCCACTGAAGACATATGATCACCAAATAAATTAATAATTTCTCTGGAAAACAAGGTAAGATATTCTTGAAAAACATGCTAAATTTAAGAAGAATATAAAAAGGGAATTCAAGGACTTTAACATGTTCAGACAAATTGAAAACCAAGCATACATAAAATGTAACATTAATGAATGTCAATGTTTCTTCAGATTATCATCTAAGATATTAAGAAGACAAAGAACCTTGAAGGAAAGTCTAACAGCTGTAACTACTAAAGAAAGTTTTTGAACCAGCTTTCATCTTTGTGGGAGGCTTTCCAGAAGTTCTGAATCCTTTTCCTACAGTTCCTATCAGCTGGATATTTTCTTTCATATGCAGATTATTTTTTGCTTGTGATGAAAAATAATTTACATTACTTAAAAACATCTCAAAAAAAAAAACCCCAGGAAAAAAAAAGATGTGCTTAACAAATTATGTTACTCAGCTTAGAAACTCTGGATAGTTTCAGTATTTGCAATTGGAAAGTACCAAATATTTAACATTTTTGGCTGATCACTGATTTGTGCCTTTTCTATATAATTTATTCAATATAAAGATTTGCACCTAGCATTGAAATGAAACTTCTAATATGGGATTATGTACACAAGTAAACAGCAAGTTGAGCAGCAAATGCACACAATCACTTCAAACTATCAGCCTGGATATGGTTATTGCATAATTTAGTTATTTTAGCTAAGATTACTAGCTAATAATTGGAAAAATGGGCCAAAGAAGACAGCCTTCTACTTTGCTTCCCAGCTCAGAGTTTGGATGTTGATTCAATATTAATTCACACAAAATAGCACTTTTAACTTGGATCACCAGAAGCATTTGCTGCAGCACTTGGCTTTTCCAGGGAACTAATATCAAACAATCGAGTCAGTGAGCCTCACAAAATATAGAGTAAATTGTTATGAAAGCTGCCAGGGAACTAGCAAGTGTATTAGAACATTTTTCTATTCATGTCTTCCTGTCCAAAGGCTGAAAACATTACTCCAGTTTCAAAATTATGGAGAAAAATGAAATCTCCAAAGAAAAAATCAAGCAGGAAGAAGGCAAACAACTCTTACCATAAGCTTAAAATCAAAGAGAATTTGAGTTTAAGCACACTCCTTCTCTGCTGGTTTTAAGGAAAGGCAACARTTTATTCGCTTTGATTAACTGGGATAGACATTAACGTACTGTTTCCTCCCACTCCAAGCTCAACAAATCAATGAAAAGGTAGAAGATTATTTACATATAGTACTGTCAAAAGATCAATAGGTTAAAAATATTCTCCCCCTTTTCACTTCTATTTTACCACCAACTCACACAGCAAAACATTCATAACTTCAGCTATCCCTAAGGAATATGAAGAATTTCCACTACTTCCTTAGCATTAAGCATTTGCCATCTCAAACACTTCCATCAGATGAAATTCCCTTAATTTTCAGCCATATTTAGTTTCAATACAAATGAAACTCTGGTATTATCAGTTTCCACTCACAGTTTGATCTAAAATACAAAACTGATCTGTTGACAAGCACCAGTGCAGAAGAAAACGCACATTTCCCCTCCATTTTTAGGAGAAKTATCATTTGCATCATTTCACCTTTTCACTATTCACCATTTACATTTGCAAAACAAAGACTATGACTGCACCTTTCTGAGGCAGTTACAACATAGTGGTGATATTGGAAACACAGCAGGGAAAAACACTTTTCCATTAGATTGTTAAAAACACGGAAATTCAAGTAAATCATATTTTGAATAATGCAATACAACAATCCCATTGTGTAACTCTAAGTTATTACACAACTGCTTTGAAATCAAACTGTAAACATAAGGAATGCCAAAAACTAATGGTGTGAAATGATGGATAATTTCATTAATATTAGGATTTAATACAGTGTAAGAATCAATTCTTTCTTTTCAATATATGAACAATCTCTTTTATCAAACTATTCAAGTATAACCTTTCATGGGTTGCATATGCACTTTCTTTCCTGAGCCAGCAATCACACTCATTTTATCTGCTCAGATAAAGAACAARCCCTAAAATACTGATGCACTGCAACAATATTAATATATTTTAAATAATCTGGCTACGTATTTGCTACCTGTATTTGGAATACCAGGTTGTCTACAAAACATTAAATGATCACAAATTAAAGGAAGAGAAAACTCAGGAAACATAAATTGCCTTTTCCACTAYGGCACTTGTTTACTCTCAAAAGACTGTAAGAAAAGAAGAGATAATCCTTCCCTCACCAATATTTCATAGTTAATATCTATTACTGTGTGTAAATTTCATGCCACTAATGCTARCTCTATAGAAGACTCTTACAATGTTTAGGAAGCTCTTACCAAAATTTGGGTATCTTTAGTCTGCTCCTGAACAGTCTGCAAAATATCGGCCAGATCATCATCAGCTCCATGAGGACCAAGAAGAAAATCTTCTGAAACCTAAATGAAATTATATAAAGCTTGAATTCAACAAATTTCGTGTATCTTTCTTTCACAATACAACTGTTTCCTCTCCCAGTGCTGGAAATAATTCCCTCCTTGTTAAAATATCATTTTGCCATACTTAAACAGAATTCTTATTACTGAAATATTTGTTACAAATAAGCTGAAATATCTAARCAGATATTTTATCTAAATAGAAATACCTTTTTAAAAGCATGTAATGTTCAAATGAAAGTGATACACAAAAACTCAACCAACACTAAATTTTCTCTTGAAACATAGGTATGCCCACTGTCATCATACTTCGTAAAAKGAGAGTCAGGTCATTTCTCCYAGAATGTCTATGTGGCTGATAAAGTAAAAAGAATGAATCATGAACACGCTACCAAATATATCAGAAGATTATCAAATTAGTAAGTTACCTCCTCATATCGATAATCATCTTTAAAGTCCTCTGTTATGGTAATTTCTGCAGGTTTAGTTAAGTCTGAAACAGCTGGTGCACGTGGGGAGCTCCAACTTAGAAAAAAACTACCATCTATAAAACTTATCACCATTTCGACCCTTGCTCTTTGTGACACAAGACTTTCAGCTTTCAAGATTTCTTCAGCCTTGAAGAGAACAAGCCCAGCTCCGTGCACAGAGACAGAATTAGGTGCAAGTTTTTACAGCAGGTTTTAATACCATTAAAAACTGACTCATCAAATCTCAGAAGCCAAGCACTGTTCCAAATAAAAACAGCAGCTAAATTGTGCTCTCAGCCAATCATCAGTTTTGAGAGGGTCTTATTGCATTAAAATTTCCACAGCCTTCTAAGCATAAGTAGCTTCCTGCTCTCAGGAAACAGCATTTTTTAGCAAATTCAGATGTATGAGTTCAAACATGAACACCTGAGGTCAAACCCTGAACACCAGAGATCCACTTACCAGAGTTGATGAAAATGCCTTAATAATCACAACACAGTTACAATAAAAAGATGAGGAACTTCAAAATGCAAAAATTCATCTRGAAATTATCTATAGTCCCTTGAAATGCTTTAGAGTCAAACTTTTGATTAAACATAACTACAAATAGTCTAAAATGAAAGCCAAATAAACATCTTTTCATCCACTAGCCTCACAGCCCATGAAAGTATAATGAAATGTTTTTAGCAGCTGCTGTTGACAGTTTCCCTAGGAAATCAGTTAGCCTAGAAGTGACCCATGTAAATAAACCAGGAATTAACTTCCAAAGAAAAGAAAAGCTGGCAATTCAGTACTTCACACAGAGAGAAAGAAAAAAAAAAATCAAAAAAAACCCACATGATTTTCCAGCTTTGCATCAAGTTGGCCAAATCTGAATTATTCTCCTAAAAACCAGGCCTTTGCTAGAGCTTTCACAGTACAGTATATATGTAAAAGTACAAGATACAGGTAAAAGTATCATCTGCATTCAAGACCCCAGCATCAATAAACCCAGATAAATTGTATCCATCTAGAAGGCTAACTGATGAACACCATAAMCCCTTTTACAAGTAACAAACTTCCAAAAACTGGGGATTCTTTCCTCAATTTCCTCTTGCCCTGACTGTCCTTGTGATCGCCTATGGACTAAACGAATGTGGCATGACAAACACTGTGCCCAGATTAAATTATTACTTCCAAAATCCTGGCGTTTTCCTCCTCGTCCTGCTTCCCCCCCCCCCCCCCAAAAAAAAAAAATTATAGCTAGGTGCACTATAAAACAGAGACATTAATTTTAAAAACTACTGTATTTCTCAACAGTGTTAAATCTGCTGAGACAGTACTTTTTTTTAAGCACATCACACTGAAAACAGCTGTGCAGATTCACTATGGTAGAAATTGAGGCACGAGCTGGAAAAGGACACTCTTCTACTTTTTAAAATTGCCTTTGAATTGGCTTACAACTTAATTCTAGCAAGGCAGGGAAAACTAAGGTATAGTAAGGTCTAAAGACACTTAAGTATGATTGTTTAGTCTCTAAAAGCATGAAAGTGCTTCTTTATCTGCAGCTCACAGCTAGAAAAGAGAACAGGTACAGCTCACCTGGCCTAGTGACAAAACTAGAATTGGGGTCATCAGTCCAAAAAATAACCCATTTAAAAGCCATGAATTGCCAACATAATTTGCTACAACTAAAATGTGGAAAGATTTGGGTGGGTTTTTTTTTTTCTCTAAAAGCCACAGCGAAGTTATGTCTAGGTTATTCTACCACAACTCTTGTTCTTGGTCATACTGTAATTACAAACCAAAACCCATGAACATCCCCAAAGTTATTCTGCAGTGGGAAATTAAAGGAGCACCTTTTCCAGCAGCACGTTAGGTCTGTGAGTCTCATACYGAACCTTGCCACTCCTACATAGGTAATTCGCATTTACTGCTCAACAGCAAACACGTGAGAGGCATCAAGAGCCTTCCTCGCCAGGATTTTAACCCCTGCTCAGGCTGCCCCATCAGCAGTGGGGGATTCAATTCCCCTGCTTTTCCAAGGGGCRCTCARGAACCCCGACCTTCAGCCAGGAAAGCAACCACCACCTTACAGCGAGCAARACCCCRCTGCCTCTGCAGGGCCAAASCCCAAMCCCCCMCATATTCACAGAATTGCTTAGGTTGAAAAAGACCTCTAAGACAAAACTGTTAACCTAACACCACATCCRYGTTCGYCRCTAAACCATGCCYTCAAGTGCCGTAYCCAYACAGSGCTTTTTAACACTTCCAGGGATGGTGTGGCCATCACTTCTCTGGACAGCCCGTTCCACCTGGTCACCCATTAAAGGAAGGCATTTTTCCTGATACCTAAACCTCCCCCAGCACATTTTGAGGCTGTTCCCTCTCATCCTGTCCCTGTTTCCCAGGAGCAGAGCTCACTCCCCCTGGCCGGCCCCTCCTGTCAGGGAGTGCTGGAAAGCCACAAGGTCCCCCCRAGCCTCYTTTGCTCCAGGCTGAGCCCCGCCCGGTCCTTCAKCCTCTCCTTCCCCAGCTCCGATCCCTTCCCTSGACAGGCTCCARCCCTTTTCATTCTCCAGGGACATGAACCCACAAAAAGAACCAACAAGCTGGGGCATTTTCCACTTCCCCCCTACTCTCAGCGCTGCCCTCGCCCCTCCCGGTCCCCGCCCCAGCAGGTGCCGGGACCACCCGAGCTGAGGAAAGAGGAACGCAGAGGAGACGACCCCTGAGGCGGGGAACCGGCACCCCGAGCCGAGCAGGAGAACGAGGATGGAGGGGGAAAGCCTGGGGAAGAAGAAGGATACTCTGCAGGCTGAACGCCGCCTCGGAGGCCGCCGCGTCCTCCACCATGGCTGCGGCGTTGCCGGGGGCGACCTCTCGCGAGGAGAGGCGCTCGGACCGCGGCGGGAAGAGACACGGCTTTTATTTAATTCAAACTAATTTAGCTTGATTCAATTCAGCTGAATGTAATTAAGCAAACAGCTGAATGTAATTCAGCGTTTTGCAACTGGAGGCGGAGCTCCTCGCGCTGTTTGTGAGGAGCGGGCCGTGAGGGGAGGAGGCTCCGGAGGCGTCCAGGGCGGCCCCTCAGAGCCGGCACCTCAGGGCGGGCCCCGCCAAACCCACACGGCACTGCCTGAAGTTGAAGGGAAAAACAACCGGACATGAGGGGAAAAACCGCTTAAAATCCTAAGAAAGGTCTGATTTCTTCCTCAGACGGAASATTTTTGTTAAAATGTTAAATGTTTTGTTAAACATTTTGTTTCAGCTGGAAACTGAGCTAAGTCCTGTGGGGACTGATTGCTTCRGTCCCTTCAGGACCCAAACTCTCCTGTAATTCTGTGTTCATCTTTAAAAGCAGGAGTTTTCCCAGGCAAAAGTTTGGGAGAGAAACTTACTTTTGTGGAGAACACACGTCAGGCTCCCTAGGAGTTTGAAATAAAGTTGCAGGACTCGACAGAAAATTTTCTGTTTCTTTTTCTCATTTTAAAGCAAGCTTAGGAGTCCCAGCCCTAAATTTCCACTGAGTTAAGGGGCTTTATATGCAACAGGAACTCAGAATCAGTGCTTGAATTAATGTAAAGTAATGGAAAATAAGTGCCCAAAGTATCTAGGGGAGAAGAAAGTAATCAAAAAAGTGCTAGTAGTTGTGTGGAAAGGAGAGGCACCAGTTTTGCTTGCAAGGTTAACAAAGAAAGCTAAGAATTTAAATACAGCCTGAAGATCTGAGAAGATGTAAGTGGGGGAAACTGAATTATGCAATTCAGTTAAGATTTAGCCTGAAAAGATACAATCCTGGAAGGGGTTCTGCTGCCAATGAAACTATTGTTTCAGCACTGTGTAGTGATTGTCACACAGGATTGTCATTCCTCTCCCATGGCAGATCCATTCTTGAGAAATGATGAGTATTTTGGCACTGTCARTGTCTTCAAGTTGTAATAAAAGAACAGTGTTTTGGCACGAGATTGTCATGACACTGCAAAGGTGACAAAAACTGTTGTATTCCCTCAAATTCTCTCCAACACTGTTGTTGAGTTTGATACATGTCAGAGCTTGAACTCAGCTGGTTTCAAGAGGTAGAGGGCAAATGGTGACATACCTTTCTTGTCTTTGATGGTGGTGTTTTGTTTTTTTCTCCTTCAGATGAAACTGATGTGACAATGTTCTTTCATCATATCCAACCCAACAGAGCCATTCTGAACTCCAGCAGAGCATCTCAAAAAAAAAAAAGAATAGGCAGAAGTAGCATCATGAAGCACAACATCCACCAGTCAGTACTCCCAAACTGCAGATTTAAAAGCTGATAACAGAGTTGGGATGGCTACAAATGAAGGCATCATTCTCCTAGGGAAATTTCCACTTTCACCACAAATCACAAAGTAAGTGTAACTTGTGTCATATGGGCAGGCAGAGCTGATTAATCTAAGTTAATAGCAYTCAATTCTCTCAGCAACATGTTTGCTGTCAGCCTTTACACAAAGGGTTGAACAAACAAAATGCTAAGCAATACCCGTCTCTGAGTTTTCTCCCTCTGCAGGCCTAACTTCTCCCTACAAATTTTTCACAGGACTTCTCTATCTCACTAAAATGTGGAAATGTATGGTATCTACAATTGAAGAAGACTGATGAAAGCTTAAAAGGGGCTCAGAAAGGTGCTTCAGGGAAGATTAAGATTAGAAAACAATTAGTAGTGAAGGACAAAAGGATCTCAATCTTCTTGGTTTATTAAAGGAATCGTTAAAGAGCTTTGATCAATGTCAGTAGGTAATGGATTTGGTAAGAAAGGCTATGCAAAGATAGAACAATATCAAGAAAGTAGATCTAGGTTAGATATTAGGAAGAGACTGYTCCCTGTGAGGGTGGGGAGGCTCTGGCACAGGKTGCCCAGAGAAGCTGTGGCTGCCCCATCCCTGGAAGTGTCCAAGGCSTGGGTGGACRGGGCTTGGAGCAACCTGGGACAGAGGAAGATGTCCCTGCCCATGGGTGGACTGGATGAGCTTTAAGATCTCTTCCAACCTACATCATTTTGGGATTCTATAATATCCAATAATACTGAGAATTAACTAAAAATAAGTCACAACTAAAAGCCAAGASCATTTTTTTAGCAA